GTTCATCATATAAATTTGTTATATGTTAAATGTTATAGGCTAAATATTTGGAGGTTAAAGTTGCCAAATAACTAACAGATTATGCAATGCAGCTAGAACCCCAATTATACAGTTAAGTTTTAAACATATCCCAAGTCCATGTGCTGCTGATATCAGATTATTTCATTTAAAGTCTGAAGTCACCATTGTATAAGATATTTACTGGATTTATCCAATTATAACAGGAGACGGAAAGACAACACAGCAATTAGTACAAAGAGAAGTGACAGTTTTTGTTCAGCAAATCAAAAAAGTTAACTTTGTGAAAATGCTGATATATAAATTAAAATAAATGATGAAAAAATAAATAAATAGTTTTTTTGTCTTTTAAATATGCATATTTTGCTCTGTAAAATACCAAAATCCAACACAAATTTAAGCAAAAATCAAAGTTTCCTTTGTTTTCATAAGCACAGATTGTGCTTCGGGTGTAAAGCTTTCCTGGTCTATAAGATATGAAAGATATTTTAAATCCGAATTAGTTTTCAAAGAGTTCAAACCGCCTAGATTCAAATCCTCTTTTCCTATCTTATAAGGGCATTTATCGAGTGAGTACTCCATAGTTTTGCTTTTATTTACTATCTTTAGCAGCATAGATTTCCTTCTTTCCTGCAGCCTTTTCTGTAGTCGTTTTTCGGCTTTATGCTGCCCCTCCCCTCCTAAGGCCTATTAAATGGAAACGCTAAAAATTATGTCAAAATTATGGCAAACCATGATATTTTCATTGCACATATAATACATTTTGTAATCATGTCAGAGCCAAAACTGTTAATGTTTCTTTGGTTTTTTTTTAGGGGGGGTAGGCATGTTTTAAGTTTTAAAATATATGTTGGGGGGGTCACCCACTTTTTTTTTTATTTGATAGGGGGTGGGTCAACTGAGATTTACAGCTGGCAAAATGGAATCTGCGGACCCCCCCCCCCCCAGGCCGAAGTAACTGACCAATCCCTTATCAAATCATTCATACCGGTACAGAAACATGTTATCATAGTCATAATGTTACTATTACAAAGAAAAAAAAATAAGCTCGGAAGGGAAGAGCGCACACAATGAACATAATCTTACATGTTGCAAATGGCATCATAAATCAATTCAAATTTAGTCTATTATCTATTAATGATGAAAATAAAATTTAGTACTATTATCTGAAAAAGTAGAACAATAAAACAAATTCTTGAAATATAATATAATAAAATAATATTTACACAATTTTTCTTGAAACAATCCCAGTTTGGCAAGTTAGTCTGAAGTGGAGTGGGTTTAAAATAAAATAAAAATAAATAAAACATCCTGAGAGCTTGTGTATTTTGTAATCCTAATTTCACAGAAATTATCCAAATGACACAAATTTGAGACGACTGTTAAACAGTCCAATAACAGATTGGGGTATATAAGATTCTCAAAGTACTTTTTCAATGTTTTGGGAAATCAAATTAGTACTGCTCAAATTCTGCAACATTAGCAATAAAATATGTTTACATATTTACTCTGTCATGTGTCAAATTCTTCAATTTAAATTCAGTACCATTTAATTTCTTATATACGGGTGTGTAATCCCCATCAGACAGATGCTATCAGACATGTTGGTTTATACACAGTTTTCACTAACAATTTGAGGGACTTAAAATAAGGTCAATGCAACTTCCTGCAGGTGATGTTTTTCACAGCTTTTTTCACTAATAATTTAGCTTCCTAAAAATTCAAGCTATGAAACATTTCGAATAAGCTTTTACTTACAAAACTTAGGTTAGGATATCCTTAGCATACCCTTCCCCCCCCCCCCCACTTATACTGTACTTTTACATTGTATCACTATACATATAATGCATTGTATCACTATCATTATGTATAAAAATATTATTATTATTTATTTATTTATTTACCTTTAACAGATCATTGTCTTGTGTAGTTATACACGCAGTAATTATGTAATTTCTTAATATCTGCTAGTCAATCACTAATAGAAGAACAGTAAAACATGGTGGATGTCTATCTAGTTTAATATAAAATGCACCTAACTGTTAAATTCAATATCAGGAACTCTTGCAATTTACATAGAGGTATATTATCATACTTTTTCTGGAAAACGTACACTAATTTCATGTATGGAACACTATGTTTATTTGAGGGAAGATTTAAACAGAGTCTAAAATGGAATACCAGAAGGTGCCTGGCTTAAAAGAGATAAGGAATAAAGTTATAGTTTTTACGTTCACCCAAATGTTCAGATAATAAGAAACGTCACACATGTTATATTATTTATACCCACTAACTAACTTTATACACTTCATATGGAAAGTACCGTTTGCTTGCAATATTTATGATAAAATTGTATGGTCTATAATAACAGCTTGGAGATGTAATATTTCAAATCATCTACACCTGTGTCACTAGCAACAAATGAAAGGAGTCAAAATAAAAAAAAAATACCTGGATGTCCAACAGAATAACCACTCTGAAAAAAACTGTTTGTTGACATGAAAATATATATATTTGATAAAGCCTTTGTTTTTTTACTTTTTGAAAGCTATTTTAAAGTCAACTTGGTTGGATGGCATGGTCATCAATTAAATAGAACAATGGCTGCTTTTTGAGAAAATAAACTTTAATAAATTTTAATACAGACATGTCCTATACCAACATGTTAGATTATAAATCGACTTGTAAAAACGTGATACTTTCTACTTTTGAAGTACCCGGTAGGTGTTCCACTTTAGATCAATAGTTCACATTGAATTAAAAGATGTTTCAGAGAAGTCAAACACATTCAGAAAATGCATTTTGTTTCACATATTTTTTCAACTATTTAATCAGCTACTGACAATTAATAGTGAGAATTTAAGACTATTACACTGAATACTAACTAAGTTTTACTTCTTAGAAGCTTTCATTGGTTTTTCTTCTTCCTCCAAGACTGTATTATTATCTAATTCACACAGTGGATGTCGCCAGTATGTAAAGCTACTGAATTCTCCAGGTGCGTCAAACTCAAACGATGCCTGGCGGTGCAATGGAGGAAACAGATGATCCGACAAATCACTCAGTTTATCATACCTGTTGGATAAGACAAGATTAACCAATTGTCAGACAAAGAGAACAAAAGACAGCATACTGCTTATAACTGTCTTCTTCAGGCTACACTAAATATGCACTAAAATTTAAGCTAATCTCATATGTTTCCATATTGGCTAGACCCAATTACGTTCACACACAGAAATAGCTGGTAGCTAAGGAACGCCCAAACTTAAGAACACACAAATCTCCAGTCCTGTTACTCAGTACAGTAATTAGGAAGGTATACGTGTTAATTCTACACTTATAAAACTAAGCCAAAGCAAATTCAGAATGTGCAGATTGCAGAATAACAGGAAGTAGTAGTAGAGTATCATCATCAGTTTATTTCTTTCTTGAGAACAATATCCCAAGATGCGCTTGCATTGATTTTCATATCGGAAATGGCATAGCAAAATGATTAGCTATGAATATAATAGTAAATCTTCCAAATGGACATTAAATACAATGGTGTTTTGAGTGCTTAGCTCGGGCTGGACATTTGCACGCACTTCATTAGCCCATACTATAGATCTGGACGAGGTCTTAAAAAACGGATCACATATAACCTGTACTTGCCTCTTCTCAGCCCATGCTAAGCATTTACGCATGTTATTTTACCTCTTAGCCCATGTTAAGAACTTGTGTGTGAATGCAACTAGTTGAACCTTGCCTCATGAAAAATTCAATGCTACGGTTCTCATTTATTATACAAAGTTAAATATGAGCAAAAACGTAATACAATGAATCATATACAGACAAGAGCAATGCCTTGAATGTTAAATGGTTATTTTATCATAGCTATGATCCAGTCCTTATGAAATCAAACCCTCCCTCACTAGACATCACTTCTATGAATATAAATTTGCTGACGATTGATTTATTTTGACACTTGCAACTAGAAATACTTATTAGGTACTTACGTTGACTGGAAGAACTGTGTTAATTCATATTTCAATTCACCTTTTGGGTTAATAGTGAATATTCTTGAGATTGGTACACCGACAGCACGGTATGCCCACACATCCTATAATGAAACAAAAAATTACCTTATCTGTTGAATTGTTGACACAATGCCATGCGCATTACTGGTAATCTGAGTGAAGCCGCACACATTTGTCATCAAGTTACTGAGAGTTATTTCTTTCATTTATTTCAAACTAAAGGTTACTGCACAAACATTTTTATCATGCTTTTTAAAAAACAAAACAAATTACTATTAATACTCACAACTGAATCGATCAAAAAGATTCTTTTCATGCACTTAAAAAAGCAATTATTTTTACTATCGCAGATTAACATAGTATTTACAGTAACTAGCCTTCAAAGCATTCAGTAATAATGAGATTGAAAATAACTTCTTCTTACATTTATTTTGTTTCCAAATCCGGCGCAGAATGGATTTTTACTTGGAAATAATGCTTGTATGTCTCGCAGACAGCTGATTTTAAACTCCTCAGGTTTCTTCTCTATAACCTCCCTAGAAAAAAATTTGAATATAATTATGTTAATGGTATTGAAATAGTTTTCTGGTCACACCAACAGATACAGCACTGGAAAAAATTCATCACTTTTAATATATACTGTAAATTTATTTGATGATGTAAATTGGGAAAGGATTTGAATATTATCGGTTATAAAGAATTTGTGCATTAACACATTCAAGTTTTGTATAAACAACATGGACCCCAGTGAAAAGTTGACCGCTCAAAATTTTATGATTCGACCTCACTCGCAATGTTTGTCTCTTGTGAAATTATCATAATAAAAAGTACTTTACAGAAATCTAAAGAAGACTGTATGATGTTGTATTCATATGATCTTATATGATTGGTAAATATAATATGTCTAGCTGATTGTAAATTGATTACATTTTGGTCTTGTTGCGGACTCCACACGACTCTGCCGACAACAGTATGGTACTGTAAAATACTTTATTTTCACCATTTTCGCTGAAAGAATAAGTCAGTGAAAATAAAATCCAGCGAATATACCTTTTTCCCTATATTTTACATGCAACTCATCAAAAATCAGTGAAAATAAATTCCATTCAAAACACCCCAAAAGTCCATTCAGCGAAAATTAATTCCAGCTAAAATAAAGTATTTTACAGTATATAAGAGTTTACAGTAAACATACTTGAACACATGCAGTCACCGTATTTACTCAATTAGAAGTGCATCTGCAGTAGAAGATTTCATAAACAAGAAATTGCCTTCAGTGTATGCTGAATCATTAAAATATGAATGATACTTATTTTTGCTTTTCATAAATAACCAAAATCCAAGTGAATGAAAATAAAGACTTATCATCTTTGTAGCACATCAACCAAAATAAGTCAAGATGGCGGCCACTTACCTGTGAAAAGCTGTTATAAGTGATGTTGGCGACAGTAGTAACGGACCATCAGGCAACTCCAGTTTCTCTTGTTTCACACTTTTCAAATATCCCTTTGTAATCGATGACTGACCAATTGCTCTTGCTGACAAATACAGGAATTGATAGCCATTCTTCTGAATACAAGTGTATAAATTAGCAACACCTGACTGAGTCCAATCCTTGCCAAACACCGGTAAAATTTGACCAAAAACATCAGATCTATTAAATAAAAGATAATTGTAATCAGTGAAGATACTGCAGTGTATATGTAGTTAACTGGATGAAACAGACAGTAGTGTTTATGGAGTTAAGGAAGAGAGGAAGGAAGGCATGTAAACCAGTGACCTCAAACAATCTGGCTCCACACTGTGTAGAAGGAATATTCACTAACTTGTAATTTTAACATATTTGAAGTTGCAGGGACATACCGAATTTTAAATTCACTGGTTTGTGAAGAAAACAATACATTGTATCATATCATATGTGTTTTAATAAATAAGTCTTTTCTTTATTATTTTTTTTTATCAAAGGCCATTTAAAAACATAACCATTTCAAAGTATAACCATATAATTCAATGGTAAGTGAGCACTGCCCCCAATCTAGGTCAGAGTAATTTCTTTTGTTTTTTTAAGTCGCATTCAAATTTGTTATTGATACTTACTTAGTAATAGTGCCATCAATGTCAGATATAATAACTTTATCATCATGTTTCCATAAATAGATAGTGGACTTGCATCGACTTGTACCCTGATACTGTGTTGTTACAGAATAGACAACTTCATTTGCTCCTGGCTTTAAATTCAAGCTTGCCTAAATATACACACACAAAAAGTAATTAGCATTAATCTAGCTTTGTATTTCATGGTTGATATTTTACATTTAAAATATTTCAATGATAGATTTCCAGATTTCTTCAAGAATCACACAGACAAGACCTGTTTACTGCCTAAATTTAATTGTCATAAGTGTAGACTGAACAAGGAATAGAAGTTGACTTACAATCTGTTCAGTAGAAAGTCTGATTGATTTTCTGTACATTTCTTTAGAGATCTGGTGTTCAGATTCACCACTAATATTGTGAGATGACATTGACTTCTTCATTCGTCGAGGTACATCATCCTCACTGGATGAACTGTCATTCTTTCTCCTACATTCACGATAAGAGAAGAAGAAAAAATAGTTAAACTACACATGGCTTCACCAATCAACCTGATTAGATTGATTAAATTGCTAGAAATCATGACTGCACATCCAGGGGTTTCACAAATGCATTTAATAGCATGCCTTCGTCCTGTAACAACAGGCCAAAAAATAAAAATAAAAAAGGCTCTCGGCAGTGCAAAGCACTGCAGCGAGACCAACGTAGGTGGTCAGGAGAGGTGAAGAGATCAAAAAGTAGATGACAGATTGAGGCTTGTAGCCGGCCATATGGCCGGCTCTTAACGAAACTCCTGACATCCCTATCTTGCTGAATGATTTAGCTCCAATACCACCGCTGTCCAATGTAAAACAGCTTCAGTAGATGTTTGATATTGAATTCATTGAAAACACTGAAGTTATTGAACACAAAGTTAATGTGCGCCATGCTATCTATTAATATTGAAAAAGTAAATGCTGAAAAGGACAAAAAATATATACTTGAAAATCATAAATTCCTCAAGCAAAGCAAGGTATTTGAAATCTTGGTCTTGCAAAGCAAAGATCTTAACCACTACACTATGAAGTTTTCCAATAGACTATATATACTCTTTAATGAAAAAAAAATCACCAAAAATCCAATTTCTGGAAGATCTGATTAAAATTTACTGAATATTATCGAAGTTATTACACGCACAAAGTTTATGACACTGGACGAAGGCGATGAAACAGAACATAATTTTTGCCACTACTTCACTTCATTACAGGCAAGCCAAAAAACTGTAATCATACTAAATATTATGTGGACGAATCTATATATAATACACTAAACTTTAAAGGTCACACACATAAATTATAGCTCATTTTTGCACTTCTGAATTCTAATGACTAATGAAAGTTTTGGGTATCCATCCATCCCAAGATTAGATTCAAATCGTGGGACTGTAGCTATGATACTAGTGATTGCTACACCACAAACTGCCTATGCAATGAGAGGCCGACATTGCTGTATATACCTTGACTGCTTTTTAGGTGATGGTGGGGGTGTAATGGGTTGACTTGTATCACTCAGTGCTTTATCTATGCCTTTCTCATCCATATCTTTATTAGATCGTCTCCAAGAAAACCAGGAAGTTAATCTTCGACCTTCTTTCTTTGAACTCTCTTTAGAAATCTTCTCAACAGATTCCTGTGAATACCAAAATAAACAAGTTCAGTTGACAGGTAGCTTTTGACACTAATCAGTCAGACAAGGTTAACTTTGTTATATCAGGAGAAAACCTGACACAATTTAATATCCATTTCTATTTTTGTCTGGAACTCTCAGATTAAATGTGCATTACAGAAAACTAATACATTTCCTCAAAGCTCATTGCATATTCATTTAAGGCAAGTTTCACTATAAGCTAAATGAGTTGCTTAAGGTAACTTAAAGATAAACGACTCTTGCACTCCTCATTCTAAAACACAATAGTTTTGTGCCCGATTTATCAAATACTGTAGAATACTTTATTTTCGCTTGCAATATTTGCTATTTTCACTGAAGGAATGATTCAGTGAAAATAAAATCCAGCAAATATACATTTTTTCCCACATTTTACATTCAACTCGCAAAAATAAGTGAAAATATGTTTTAATCCATACAAAACACCCATAAAGTCTTATCAGTGAAAATTAATTTCAGCTAAAATAAAGTATTTTACAGTAATCGATGTCTGCATCAGTTATGTTACATCAAGGTGGCTGTGAGCGAAGACATCAAACAGGTGTACACGAGATATCATCCCACACACTACTTGAACTGTAGTATAATGGAAGTTATCGTCTCCATGGCAACAGATGAAATACATACAGTCTCATCTATGATAACCCACTAATAAATCTTTCATAAATAGAACAAATGTCATATAAGATTATAGACACAACTGACACCGACAGATATTACAAGACTCCATAATTTAATAATACATATTATTATACATCTGTCACAGTGACGCCATAGGGTTAGAGCATGCCGTAATTTTGTGGTATTCTACGAGATATTTCCCTACCATATAAGGAAATGCGAATTCCAAATATGCAATGATAAACGCGTAAGCGTCTTCTTATAATAAAAACAAACAAGGCTGCCACCAGGGTTTGATCGGACTCCACACAAAGAAATTCGCTGATTCTGTTCTAAACTTTTTTGATTTCGACATTCCCATGGTGTATGCTTGGAAGGAAAAGATGTATAATGTCTAGATTATAACTTACCTCAGGTAATGGTTTCTGGAATACCAATATTGACATAATTAAAGGACCAGCTGTTTGCCAATTGTAATATTTACCACCAAGTCGTAGCACCAGATTAGGATCAGATAGTAAAACAGGATTCTTACAGAAGTCATCAAAGTGAACAAGGCACTGTTCAAATTTCTCTGTGTAACAAAGAAATACATATACATAGATCAATTTGGACATGACATTCATGTTTTATGTACCATCAAGTGTTAAAGATTAACTATGAATCAAGTTCAAGTTTTAGCTCCAGGAGCATTGAAAGTAATTAGGTCAAAAACGATGACAGCAATGAGCATAGGAATGTTTCCATGTTGCAAATCAAACAAAAGTGGTTTTCAGTATCACTCCTTTTTAGTTGTAAGGGATTGGTCAGTTACTTCGGCCTGGGCGGTGTGTGGATCAGTGGGGGGTACCCTGTTTTTGATTGTGTGAATGGAGGGGCTCCCTGTTTTTGATATCATGAATGGGGGGGGGGGGGGGGGGTCACCATGTTGTCCAGAATTCACACACACGCTCATGCATATATTTTTAAACATTTTATTTCAGAACAAAAGATAAAAAAGTTAATCGTACAAATGTGTTCTCAATAAAAACTATTACCTATATTGCCTATAAATTTGTTGATGCAAAAAATGTTATAGGCTAAATATTTTGAGGTTAAAGTTGCCAAATAACTAACAGATTATGCAATGCGGCTAGAACTCCAATTATACAGTTAAGTTTTAAACACATCCCAAGTCCATGTGCTGCTGATATCAGATTATTTTATTTAAAGTCTGAAGTCACCATTGTATAAGATATTTACTGGATTTATCCAATTATAACAGGAGACGGAAAGACAACACAGCAATTAGTACAAAGAGCAGTGACAGTTTTTGTTCAGCAAATCAAAAAAGTTAAATTTAAGAAAATGCTGATATATAAATTAAAATAAATGATGAAAAAATAAATAAATAGTTTTTTTGTTTTTTTAACTTTTAAATATGCATATTTTGCTCTGTAAAATACCAAATTTAAGCAAAAATCAAAGTTTCCTTTGTTTTCATAAGCACAGACTGTGCTTCGAGTGTAAAGCTTTCCTGGTATATAAGATATGAAAGACATCGATCGCTGTGAACATGTTGTGAATGCGTAGAACACGGTAACCGTGCGTAAACTACGCTTCGACAATGACCTGTTAATACAAGTAAAATGCGATAAAATATTTCATGCCATATTCAGTTTACCTCTCAAAAATGGCTAGTTACTAGTTTTTTGGAAAAACCATGTCGTTTATTCGCTGAAATCAATTCCAACAGATCGTACTTCGACATCAATTATTCACTTCTGCATTGCGTTACCGGAAAGTCTTCGGGAATTTCCGAAGAATTGCGTCAGTACAACACAGCATTCTGATTAGTTAATAACCAACATTGACCCATTAGGTCAAACGACGCTGCTGTAGGTCAAATCTGCAATTGCATCATGGCGGAAAGTGATTTTCATCGAGAGTTTGCGTACGATCCAACAACTTCGTCAGTGGAAATAATATGACAATTTTGACTTCGACTGTGTTCCAACAGACTCAAATGTTTTTAATTCCGTAAATTATGGTGGTACGTAATTAATATTGTAATAAAATGTGCATATTTTTTGTGATCATTTCTGTTTCTTCATTGTGAAAATCAATGACGACGCAAATTAATTTAGTAATTTGATT